CACGTGGCGTGCGAAAAAATCCGAAGTATAATATGATTGACGTCAACCACTCTCGTGTGTACCCGAAAAATGAGCCTTTCATACTCGCCCAACAAGCAGCGCAGATTTATTATGCAGAATATCCTTCAACAAGGCGAACCCAGAATCCTTGGGTGTGTGCATGTCCTGTCCGTCCGAACAAAATTAAATCACAAACTCAACACAAGGACGTTGATCTAGATGCTTTTCAGCAACAATTTTTCCAACATCCGCCTATTGTTGAGACGGTCAACTATAACGTCCAATTAAGTGATCCAAATGGCGGACGTGTTGAAGTCATGCCAGAAACGCACCTTCCGGACCTAACCATTCCATCTGAGCGCGAAATTGAGGAAATGTATGTAGCACAACAAAATGCTCAATATCAGGAAGAAGGTGAATGGATAGACGGTTCAGATACAGAAGAAGACACTATATATGTAGAAAATAACGATTCTGACAGCGAGTAATTGTGTTGTTGTAATTTCAATTTTGTGATATAATTTCTCCAAGCATATTTGATAATTTCTTTCATCATTATTGTTTGTAAAATAATTACTCCTTAATCTGTTCTATACCACATAAATTCAAAGCAGTTTATTTAATACTCCACAGTCCACACTACAATTACCATGGTATTAATAGTTATTCATATAATTACAATAGTAATAATAATAATAATAATAATAATAATAATAATAATAATAATAATAATAATGTTAATAATTATATTAACATTATTTATAATATTATAATAGTAATATAAACACAATTAATATTATTATAACGATATCATAATAATAATAAGAATAATAATAATAATAATAATTAATAATAATAAATCATGTCTGAATTTTTCTAATCTGATCTGATTTGAATAAAATAAGAATAAATAATAAGTAATAACTAACACAAAGACGAACAGAACAACACCTTATTCATTTTTCGGTTCAATAAGCTGTGTACATAGTTTCAGACGACATATTCTTGTACGCATCATATCTCAGTCAATTGGTTCTTTATTAGTCATTTTTTAGCATAAAATGCTTGGGTCGCAGGAAAATGAAATTATAAATTTAATAGTCACGGTTGTAGTCACGGTCAGGACCGTGACTACACCCTTCGTAAATGCCGAAGTCAGGGCCAACGATCAGAGGGGCGCTGACCACAATAGTCACGGTCATTGCCGTGATTATGACCGTGACTACTTTCAAATTTTAAAAACAGTCACGGTTATAGTCACGGCTTTGCCCGTGACTATTCCGGTTAAAGGCGGCTCTGACCGCCTCGCTGACATCGTCAATTACGAAGGGTTTAGTCACGGTCCTGACCGTGACTATGACCGTGACTAAACAATTATATAAAACAAACACTTGGCGTTTTTGTCATCCCTACGCACCCAAACTCCCAAACCCTAAACTACCTCTCCCTTCTCTCTTCCCTCTCTTCCAGTTCGATAGTGCCACCTAGCCGTCCGCCGTCGCCGCCTAGCTGCCGCCGTCGCCGCCTAGCCGTCCGCCGTCGTCCTCCGGCCGCCTTCGTCCGCCTGCTTCCGTCGGCCCTTCTTATCTCAGTCAAGGTTATGTGTTCTGTTCATCTTATTTTGTAATATTTGATTAAAATTCCAAAAATGCATGATTGTATACTCAAATGCATGATAAGATGCATGATTTTTAGTTTCATATCATTTTGTAATGTTCAAAAGTTGTATGTATGATTTATTATATGCATGATTTGTAGTTTTGCATGATAATTTCGTTTTATATGTTTCGTATGCATGATTAATATATGTTCAAATGTAGATTATTTTATGTTTAATATATGTTCATATGCATAATTAAAGTACTTAATAAACTGTTTTTCAAAATGGTAAATTTAAAAAATTTAATTTGTGAATGTAATTTATGAAAATATGTAAACAAACTTATTAAATAAACTGTCTTTATTTTCTTGTTCATATATATTATATTCTTTTTTTATTTAAACCTTGCTCAATATATTTTCGAACTAATGCATGCTTATACAATTAGTATGATGTTTAATATATATGTTTAGTGTTTGATTTGCATGCCTCTCTATACATATGCATTACTTTAAATTTAATTTCCGAAAATATTTAATTTAGGTTAATATTTAAAAAAAACTGTTTAAATAAATAGCCCCTCGTGTTAAACTTCCAAAAATAGTTTAACACGTTTAAATATAATTTCCGTAATATCCATTAACAAAATATTAAACATTTAAATTTAATCCCGAAAAAAATATATGTAAACTGTTTGAAAAACTGTTGTAATGATTTATAAAAACTGTTTTAATGATTTATCTAAAAAACTGTTTTATAAAAACTGGATGAAACACTGTTTTTTATAATAGTATAAGCATAAAAAATTATTTTTATTTTTTATATTATAAACTGTTATATTATAAAATGTTTTTAGATAAACTGTTTTTCCAAAAACTGTTTTTATACAAACTGTTTTTATATAAACTGTTTTTATAATTTATCTAAAAAAACTGTTTTATAAAAACTGTTTTTATAAAAACTGTTAATTAAAAACTGTTTTATTAAACAGATTTTTGTAAAAAATAGTTTTTATAAAAACTGTTTTAGTAAAAACTGTTTTTATACAAACTGTTTTAATATAAACTGTTTTTATAATTTATCTAAAAAAACTGTTTTTATAAAAACTGTTTTTATAAAAACTGTTTTAATAAAAACTGTTTTAATAACATCTGTTTTAAAAACTCTTTTATTAAACAGATTATTGTAAAAAATAGTTTTTTGTAAAAACTGATTTAACAAACTGTTTGAAATTTATTTTAAACTGATATATCTAAAACATAAAAAAATGATCTCCTCTCATGTAAACTTTGCAAAAAGTTTAACATGTTACCTCCAAGGGCAATTTATTGCCAAATTATAGAAGAACTTATTATGAAAAAGTATGGACCCCTCATATTAAACTAATAGATAGTTTAATATGCTATACACATTTTCAATTGATAATACTTGTATAAATTTTTATAGTGAAAAATAATAAATATACCCCAAACTTTGAAAGGGTGTGAGGTAAGCACCCCAAACTTGCATAAGTAATTTAAACACCCCAAACTTTATATAAAGTTTGGGATATTTAAATTACATATGAAAGTTTGTGGTGCTCTTGTCACATCCCTTCAAAGTTTGGGGTATTTTTATTATTTTTCCCTATAAAAATTTAATAAACTGTGTATAAGTTTAATATGGGTGGTTCAATAATTTCTAATAAACTCATCCTATAATTTATCAATGAGTTGACCCAGTCAATCGAAGAATCGATCAGTTGGAGCTTGTCAATGAGTTGACCTAGTCAATTCTTAGATAAGCTCCAATCTGTCGATTCTTCTGGCTACGGCTTGAGTCATCGATGGACTCTCCCAAGCGCATGTACTGACATTATGTCGCTACATGTGATGTAGCCCATCCATGGTTCAAGGCGTAGCCTGAAGAATCGTCAGGATGGAGTTTATCAATGAATCGACTAGGTCAACTCATTGATAAGCTCCAACCGGTTGATTTTTCGGTCGACTGTGTCAACTCCTTGATAATTATAGTATTTGTTTATTAACAATTATTGGACCCTGATATTAAACTTATACCCAGTTTAATATGTTATATACATTGACAATTGATAATACTTACATAAAAATTTGATCTTCTATTATAAGCGTCTAACAAAAAACAAAATAAATTAATATATTTTAGATGAGCAACGAACAATCGACCTCGGCTCCCCGCCCTAACTATGCGCCCATGTCCGAAGCGGAGCGCAACAACGAAGGAGCTGTTTGGGTGACCCCTGCAGAAGTTCTTTTGTAAGTAGTTATGAAGAAACCTTATTTTCAATAATTTTATATAATGTTAAATAATCTAACCAAATCTTATATAAATAAATACTATTAATTTTTTTAAAGTGACGATGAAGTGTTCAAAGGCATCAAAAATATAATCGGAGGACACTTTCTTGGCACTTGGGCCACGTACTCGGATGTTGACCCCAAGGTCCGCGAACTATGGTGGAACCTGTTCAAGGTAAAAATAAATGAATGTTCCCTCCCTGATTGTATTGGCCTAATATATACCTACTGATTAAATAATCCAATTTGTTTTAATAAAGGGTCGCTATCGTTGGACTCACGCAAACGGTGCCGATATTCTTAAAGCCTACAATGCTAGGATTTCGACCTGGCTTCGTGCCACTTTTAAACGTGCGCAAAAAAGTGTGAAAAAACCTAAATGGGTTTCGGATGAAGTGTGGTCCAACCTTTGTCGCCACTGGTCTTCTGATCCGAAATTCTTGGCCAGAAGTGAATCCGGTAAGAAAAACCGGATGTCCGAGAAGGCCTTGGAGATGCAGTGGCACGGGGGTCGCAAATCTCAGAATGCCCATAAAGAAACTCTTGTAAGTGCTATTCAAAAAACCTTACACCATCACAATCCTTCATTATAAAAAATTTACTTAAGTCTTTTTCACACCATTTAGGCTGGTCCTGAGAAGAAGAGGGTTGGTGTTCTCCGGCTCGTCAAGCATTGCTGGACGAAGCACGGCGAGGAATCTGAAGCCGGTCTGCCACCCCGCCTCGCTGACTTCGAAGTATGTAACATCATATTTTGTTATTTAGTAACATTTCAAATCTAAGTATGTAGCATTAAAAAAATATTTTTTGAAAATGCAGACGAAGTACAACGAATCCGTTGACAGGCAGCGTGCGGCACGAGGCTTGACCCAGGAGGACGACCTCGATTCCGATGCGGATGATGAGGCGGCCATTGAGGTGGCCGGGGTTTACAAGGGCCGAGTTCTGTGCTTGGGGGCCGAGGGGCAACAGATTTTGTATGATCGAAGCACCGGCGCTCCCTCTTCTCGGTCAAGGCGGGGAGAAGATCCTCGTATTGCTACAATGCAGCGTGAACTGGAGGAGCACGAACGACGATGGGAGGAGCAGCGGAAAGCAGATGAGGCCACAAAAGCCCGGTTGGAGGAGATGGAACGGTTCATGCGTGCCGGATTCCAGTCTCCGCAACAGCCTTTTCCTCCCCCGTACGTATTCCACCCTGAGCAAACTCCTCAAGTTCCGCACATGGGCGGTATGGGATTTTTCCCCAACTCCGGATACGGTGGCATGCCTATGATCTCCCCGAATTTCGGATCTATGTCCTTTGATTTTGCGAGGTCATCCGGAGGAGGTAGTGGTCCACCGAGCCATGGACCCCGAGGAGGACCCCGAGGAGGAACCCGACCTGACCCCGAAGACCCCCCCGTGAACCCAGATGAGTTTCTTGTTGATGATGATGATGAAGAAGAAGAAGAAAATCCTAATTTTTTTCATAATGGAGTCCCACGAAGGGACATGTAATCATCATACATTTATACTTTGTTGTATGTCAAAACATTTAAAAGTTTGTCACAATATTTATTAAGTTTGTTGTTTGTCTTTACTCTTTAAAATGTAATTTTAAATTTAAAAAATTAGAATAATATTTTCAATAACTCAATTTTCAAAAAACATTTTTAAATTTAATTTGTAAAAATACGTATAAAAAAGTAATTTTTAAATTTAATTTGTAAAAATACGTATAAAAAAGTAATTTTTAAAAAAAAACTTAAAAAAAAATGGAATTTTTTTTTTTTAAAAACAAAAATAGTAGTCACGGCCTTATCCGTGACTACAGTTAATTCGAAATTATTATTTGTTTTTAATTAAAAACATTATTTAAAAAAAAAAGCTTAGTCACGGTCGACAACCGTGTCTAATTTCAAAAATTTAGATTACACCCGCGGGCGGTCTTTTGAAAATTTTAAAAATTTGAAACATTAGTCACGGCCCACAGCCGTGACTAATATTTATTTTTTTAAAAAAATTATAGTCACGGTCACAAGCCGTGACTAACACGTCGGAGTGGGGTTTCCGGCATGATAATAGTCACGGTCTCCGACCGTGACTAACCCGTGACTAAATTTAGTCACGGTTATGCGGCGGTGACTTCATTTAGTCACGCTCATTAAGTCACGGTTTTAGTCACGGTCAACGACCGTGACTAACTCATTTAGTCACGGAATTTTTGAACTGGCGTCCGTGACTACCTCCGTGACTACACGCGTATTTTTTTGTAGTGCGAACTGAAACAAACCGAACCGATCAAATCGTGGTTCCGAGTTTTGGAGTGTAAAACCGAACTGAAACCGAACCGAACTTTTACTTTGGTTCCGTATTTGGTTTTAGGTAAAAACCGAACCGAAAGAACCAAACTCACCTAGTGATGGCAACGGGGCGGATCGGGGACGGGTACACATAAAACCGGAACCGCCCCATTGGATAAATGTTTGCCCCAAAACCGCCCCATTACCCATTCGGGTAATTTTTATTTGAACCGTACCCGCCCCAACGGGGAATCGGTTTATCCACGGGTAACCGTTTCCCCAAATGATACCAAATAACCAACTTTTTTCGGGAAAACAAATAACCAATTTTTAATCCTACTTGTTATTTATATATTCAAAGCACCCTAAAACATACAAAAATAAACATTTAAGCAATCAAGCAGACTAACCTAAATTCATTAGTATGACATGCACCCAATATCTCTTGTAACATAATAAAAAAGTAGTAATCATCCCAGAATCTAAATTTCAAAAATAGGTTTAGGCCTATATTTAGTTTTAGGCCTAAAAAAGTAGTATACTTTTTAGCATTATTTATATGATATTATTATACACAATTTAGCATATATAGTTATTATTCTTATATATAAAAAGTTATAATTTATTAATAATGTTATCGATCGGGTAACGGTGCAGGTACCCGCACCACTAGTGAACGGGGCGGTTTCAGGACGGATAACGGGGTGGATTAGTATAGAACCATAACTGCACCTTTAACCATTTAAAAAATTTGGGTATTCTCCGCCCCGTACCCATTCCCCAGTCAAACCGGTTTTCCCCAATTTGACCAAATCGGTTCGGTGCGAGTATCCAACGGGTCGGTCGAAATTGCCATCTCTAAACTCACCCCTACAAATAATACGTAGTATGCACGTAGGGAGTAATCAATACGAAGTATCTAACGACTGCAAAAAACAAACACTAGGTTGGGGGCTAAGATTCCTAAGAATACTGCTACTTTTAAGGGGGATTTGTTACCATCAAAGAATACTATACTATCTCAAAAACCAGTAACCAATTTTATACGGTAATCGCGTATTTATGATATAAAAAAAGGTAATCGCCTATTATTTCAAAAAAATAAAAAAAATAAAAGGGTAATCGCCGTTCGACAATCCTTTCAGACGTTCGGAAAGTAAAATTCCGGCCCCGATCGGAATCGCCGTGTAGTTTCATCAGTTCGTCTTCTCGGCTCGGCGGCTCCTCATTTTTCAGATGTAAGTGATATACGATAGTATACAATTTCATATTCAATTGCGTCATGAGATTGTTAATTTTTCTGATTTCATCTATAATCTTGTTTTTTTGCAAACAGATTTTAGGTTACATAATAGTTTAAAATAGACTTTGATTAATTAATTAATTATTTCCTTTTAGTGATTTCAAGTTATTTTTTAGATTTTAGATTTGAGATAAGTAATGTAGCTATTTTTATCGTCAAAACCAACAAATATATTAAATCAATTTCATAGGACACTATTGCTCTATTTGTGTTAGATTTCCCTTTACCTTTAAATTCAGGTCTCGTATTACTATTATTTTTTCAGCATTTAGGTTCACTTTTATTGATTATTTGAGCTTGCAAATTACTCAAAATTTCAGATTTCAACATCTAGATTAATGTTAAAATTTCCATTTAGATATCAAATGTCATTTTTATTGTGAATTTTAGTTTTCAAATTACTTTAAGCTTCAAATGTCATGCCAGCATTTAGGTTTACTACCGTTAACTTTCTCATTTAGAGCTCAGATTTCCAATTTTGATTCTCGTTTTTTGTTAGGTATAGTAGCTTTCAATTTGTGTGATTTATACGGAGTATAAGCTTTTGAAAGTTCGACAAGATAAAGTTGTTATTTTTGAAGTTTAATTATGTTTTTTTATTATTGATCATCTTATCGATTTTGTTTTTTTAATATTTAATCGTCATTTATGTTTGGAAGTTTTCAACTACTCATTCCATCCCTAATTTATCTTTCAACTTTCCTTTTCATCAATCCCCAAATAATCTTATCTTTCCATTTTCCGCAAAACATTTACGGAGTATGATTCAGAGCATTTCTATCTCATCACTATTTCTTCTGCATAACTTTTTACCTCAAGTTCTCACTTTTATAATTACTGTGCAAAACCTCATTTGAGAGATAATTTCGGGACTGAGGAAGTATTAGTTAAACCTTAGAAGCAAGAGCATCTATAAAATAATTTTTTGTTCTTGCTTAAAATTTACTTATATATTCTTCGTATCTACAAAATTTAGAAAGTATGAATTAGTTCCAATACATGGAAGAAAAAAAAGGTTGGAAATGGTAAACGTCTTCAAAGAGGAGCTCTAACTTGGTAATAATTGCCTTATTCAAAGTGATAGGTCAACAATACAGTAATATTTGATTATTTTATGCACACTTATAATTTGTTATTCAAGTTAGGGCAGACTTGATAGCTCAATACTAATAGTTGGTCTTTCAAATTTATTAGACGGCCATAATCAAATCCAAAGCTATGTCATCGTCAGCGAATTCTCCCTGCGCGGCTTGTAAGATGCAGCGGCGGAAATGCACACAAGATTGCGTTTTTGCGCCATATTTCCCGCCGGACCAGCCACAGAAGTTCGCCAATATCCACAAGGTCTTTGGCGCCAGTAACGTCTCCAAGATTCTCAATGAACTCAATGCGGCTCAGCGCGAAGACGCCGTTAACTCGCTCGCGTACGAGGCGGAGTATCGGCTGCGAGATCCGGTTTACGGTTGTGTCGGACTAGTGTCTGTTCTCCAGCACCGGCTCAAACAGGTGATGCGAGATTTGAGCAGTGCCAAGAGGGAATTGGCAACTTACATCGGCCCGAATGCTCTGGCCCCGCTTTTCCCGCAACCCGGGTTTGTACCGAATAATAACCACAACCATTGTTGGAGGTATTGGTCCTACCAAGGCCTCCCTTCCATTTTATTATTGACTTGCACCCTATGTTTACTCCCACAGTTCCATTCCGATAATTGTTTCTCTTCTGGCTATTGACTTACCTAATGCTTGGCCCCCTTTCCGTGTTGTCCGCTGCATTCTTGTCTATGTTGGCCCATGAGCTTTTGTCTTAGCCTCTCCCGTGAGTTGTCAAGCTATTATTTGAACCCTTAGCCTCTTCCTTTGAGACTTGTCCTGCGTGAGAAACTAATGAGTGCAGAGCCTTCCTTTTTCCTTTGTGTGAGAGAGGTAAAACCAGAGAGTTGAGAGCTGAGTGTTCTCCTCCTTCCTTGATGCCCTTTGTGTGGAACCTTAGGAGTGTAAACATGTTGAGTGGTGGAGTGAGTCTAGCCTAAAGTGGTGTGTGTGAGTCTAGCTAAAGGGTTGGAGACCTGAGCCGGAAAGGAATCGACTCCCAACAGTGGTATCAGAGCTTGTGTTGTCGTCGCCGTCGATTTTGCCGGTTTCCATAGTCTGGAACGTCTCCGCCGCCGTCCGCCGCCGTCCGCCGCCGTCCGCCGCCGTCCGCCGCCGTTTCGAGTCACTCGAGGTCTCTGTTCTTCCGCCGTTGAAGTCGGTGCTGGTCTAGTTCGCCGCCGCAGAGAGTTGCTGGTTGCAGAGGACCGCTCGCCGGAGATCGTCGCTGGAGCCGCCACCTACCTTCGTCGCTGCAGGCCACCGTCGCAGAAAGCTCGGCCAAATCCGTTCGTCGCTGGGCTTGAGCTGAAGAAGCTTGAAGCGTGGAGCTCGAATCTTGAGCTTGAAGCAGAAAGCTTGGAGCCGGAGGTCTCTTGTAGCCGGAGCTTGGAAGCCTGGGAGCTGTCGCCGGAGATAGCTCGCCGCTCGCCACCACCGGCCGCCTATCGCCGTTCGTCAGTCGCTAGCAGCTCACCGGAATTCCGTCACCGGTGAGTCTCGCCGCTGGCTTGGAATTCATCTCAGCTCTTCGTTTGTCACAGGTCTCGCGTAGAAGGAACCAAATAGCTGGGGCAGGGGCTGTACTTAGACCGTGGGCTGCTCGTTTGTTGGTTTTATCTGGACCTGTGCCTCTGGAGCTGCTGGATAAGTTTGACTGGGCTTCAACAATTGAGCTTCTGGATTGGAGCTGGATTGGAGGTGGGTTTTCTGCTTTGTTGCTGTGCTGGAGGGGACTTGGACGGCTGGAGTTGTTGGGCTGCTTGGACCTTGGGTGCTGGACCTTGGGCTGCTGGATTGCTAAAGGAGCCAGATTGCAAGGAGAAAGTTTCACGCCAGGGATGGTCAAACCTGGTCAACGGGCAGTCAAACCAGTCAATACAAGTAAACAGTCAAACCGAAAAATCCCAATTTTTGAAATTGGGTGGGTAAGGTCGAAACGCCTCTCCTAGGGTTTCGCTCCGGTATATTGACTTTAATCCCTTTTACGCTTTTGTAGTGATTTTAGTCTTTTATTGTGTAGAAATTATATTTTAGGGTTATTACTGTTGTTAAAATTGTTTGAATTGTTGTATTGTGTTTGTGCTGAAAAATTATTATTTATTTGTGCTTATACGGAAGAACAAGGGGTTTGAAGTTGAGTTTGGTGCTCATTAATACTCCCCACGTGTTCGTGCTAGTTGCTCCGTATAGTTGTAGCCTTATAAATATTTAAATTGTTTTTCAGCGAAATTTACATTTTATTTTGTTGCTTGTTTTTCTATGTGAAAATGTCTGCTTATAATCAGTATGGTATGGCTCCATTTAATGGAAAATCTGATTTTAGCATTTGGAAGCAAAAAATTAAATGTATTTTAATACAACAAAAATGTTTTAAAGCAGTTGGCGAAACCTATTTAATTTCTGACACGGAAGATAAAAGGGCTGAAATGAATGAAAATGCATGTTCTGTGATTTATTTGAACTTATCTGACTCCGTGATTAGAAAAGTTGGAATTTTAGAGAGTGCTAAAATTCTGTGGGATAAATTGAATGAACTGTATACTGAGACCTCTTTGCCTAACCGGATATTTTTACTTGAGAAATTCTTCAAATTTAGACTAGATATGTCTATGGATATTGAAGAAAATCTAGATGTTTTTACCAAACTTATTTCAGATATTAAGTTGTGTGGTGATAAGCATATAGATGATTATTCCCCTATTGCTCTTTTAAATGCTATTCCTGATTCCTTTAGTGATGTGAAATCTGCTATTAAGTATGGTAGAGATAACGTGACTCTTGACATTGTGGTAAATGGTCTTAAGAGTAAGGAATTAGATTTAAAACAGATGGGAGAGGGTAGAAAATCCGAGGAAGTTATGCATGTGAGGGGTAGAGAAAATAATAGTAGACGACATAGATCTAAGTCTAGGTCTAATTCGAGGCGTTGCTATTATTGTCATGAACCTGGTCATTTCATAAAAGACTGTCCTAAATCTAGGAAAAATGAGCATAGTGAGCATGCTAATTTGACTACGTGTGTAGATGATTTAGGTGATGTTTTTATGATGAAAAATCTATGTGATTATGACTATTTGAGTTCTGTGATATCTGATTCTTTGGGTAAATCAGATTGGGTGGTAGATTCTGGTTGTAGTTTTCACATGTCCCCTTTGAAAAATGTTTTTTCAAACTATAGAGAGATTGAGCATGGCTTTGTGTCTTTAGCAAATGAGAAGAAATGCAATGTGCTAGGAATAGGAGATGTATGCCTTAGGTTTTCTTCTGGTTATGTGCTTACTTTGAAGAATGTTAGGCATGTTCCTGAGCTGTGTTGTAATTTGCTATCTTGTGCATCTCTTGAAAATGAGGGTTTGAAGGGAAAATGGGGAAAGGGAGTCATGAAAGTTGTGAAGGGTTGCTTAGTTGTTTTCAAAGCTGAGATGAAAAACAACTTGTATGTTTGTCATGCTGAACCCCTACTTGATTCTGTGAATTGTGTGCAACCCTGTGTGCTAGGAAAACAGTCTAGAGTTGGTTTTCCTGATCTGCCTAAGTGTACTAATGTGCTTGATTGTATTCATGCTGACTTGTGGGGTCCTTATAGTGTTTCCACTCATGGTGGGAAAAATTATTTTCTGACGTTTATTGATGATTTTTCAAAGAAAGTGTGGGTTTTGTTGATTGAAAATAAATCTGAAGTTTTTGATAAGTTTAAAAACTGGAAAACCCTTGTTGAAAAACAAACCGATAAGAAAATAAATTTTTTAAGGACCACTGTCAGTTTTGATTTCTGTGATGATCAGCTTGGAGATTTATGTGATACTTGGGGTATTTCTATGCATAAATCTGTTCCCTCCACACCCCAACCGGATGGGGTTGCTGAGAGGATGGTTAGAACGTTATTAGAGAGGGTGAGGGCTATGTTAGCTTCATCTGGGCTCTCTAATAAGTTCTGGGGGGAAGCTATTTGTTATGCTGTTGATTTGATTAATCTGTCCCCGTCTGTTCCCTTAGGAGGGAAATGCCCTGAATCTGTGTTCATGGGCAAACCACTTAATTTGCCAAATTTGAGAGTGTTTGGTTGTGCTGCTTATGTGAATCGTGTGAATGATAAATCTGAACTTAGGACTAAGGAATATGTTTTCTTAGGATATCATGATTGCATGAAAGGTTATAGGCTTTGGTGTAGGAGTGAAACTTGCTTCAATGTGTTGATGAGTAGAAATGTCATTTTTGTTGAAAATGAATTTCCTTGCCTGCTTGTTTCTCCTGATGTTGCTCCAAATGAGGTGGAGCATTTGCCTGATGTTCATTCTGATTTATTTGTTGAAACCAAACCCAAATTTGTGAATGAAAATGTTTTTCATTGTGAAAATAAAGAAAATAATATTTCTATTAAGGTGGAGCATGATATGAATGTTGTGTGCAATATGCTTGAGTTGCGTGATTGCCATGTTATTAGAGATAGAGACATTAGGAAGCATGTGAGAAATTATATGTGCAATGTGTTTGACTATATTTCCTCTGAGTTTGCTTTAAATGTGCTTAATTCTCTTTTAATTAAAATCTTTGTGATATTTGGTATGCTATTTTCTTTGTATTTTGAAAATGTGATACCAAGTGATTATGTGAGCTCTACCTGTGCTAGTTATAGAAATAATATTGTTTCTTTTATTTTCTTTGTGCTTGTTATGTGTGGTTGTTGGATTAGTTGGAATCCCCAACTTCTCCCAGATGCTTGCTTGCGTGCCTTATTAACATGTGTTGTGCTTGTTAATAGTTTTGTGATGGTTTTGGTTCTGAACTCGAGGACCGATTGGTAGAGTTCAGTCCATCGTGAAGTGGGTTTGCACGGTAAGCTTGGTCCGAAAGGGAACTTTGGTTCTCATATATTACTTGTATGATCGCAATGATGTACTTGTAATAATCCGGCGATGATGAGTCTCCTCACAACTTTGTGTTGCTACTCTACACCACCTAGGACCAATAAGGTGGAGAATGTTGGAGGTATTGGTCCTACCAAGGCCTCCCTTCCATTTTATTATTGACTTGCACCCTATGTTTACTCCCACAGTTCCATTCCGATAATTGTTTCTCTTCTGGCTATTGACTTACCTAATGCTTGGCCCCCTTTCCGTGTTGTCCGCTGCATTCTTGTCTATGTTGGCCCATGAGCTTTTGTCTTAGCCTCTCCCGTGAGTTGTCAAGCTATTATTTGAACCCTTAGCCTCTTCCTTTGAGACTTGTCCTGCGTGAGAAACTAATGAGTGCAGAGCCTTCCTTTTTCCTTTGTGTGAGAGAGGTAAAACCAGAGAGTTGAGAGCTGAGTGTTCTCCTCCTTCCTTGATGCCCTTTGTGTGGAACCTTAGGAGTGTAAACATGTTGAGTGGTGGAGTGAGTCTAGCCTAAAGTGGTGTGTGTGAGTCTAGCTAAAGGGTTGGAGACCTGAGCCGGAAAGGAATCGACTCCCAACAACCATAATCATAATCCGCCTTCTTCTGGCGCTGGAGTGATTTTGCCGTATAACATGCACCAGCAGATGATGATCCACGATTCTCATCCAGATTCTGACCAGCATCATCAGTTAATGGAACCTCATCATCAGTTGATGATTGGGGAGCCCACGGACATGTTCCGGGCTTACGATCAGCAACAACCGCAGCAGCTCGAGCTCATGGGGCTTAATAATGGAGGATTCGAATCCGGTGGGCCGGTCACAGCCACCGGATATCATCAGTCGACTGTTCCGACAGCGGCTATGTCGCCTTCCTTGGCTTTGGGAGCATACCCCAATGCTTGTTATTCCTTCCAGGAGGACCAATCTCATCCGCATGACCATCCACAGATTGTTCATCAGCTTCAGCCACAACAGCTAATACTTCAACAAGAACCGCAGCAGAATCCAGAGACCCAAAGCGAGGAGGAAGGTCGGAGCGTTGGTCATCCTTCGTGCTAACGTCTTGTCAAAGCTCCCTTGCCGTCTATGTGATTCATTCATTCCACCCATGCGGTTTCCTACCTAGGTAATGCCTCTATCTACAATTTTTCTTGTGTTTTCTTACTTTGAGCTCGTATAGTAACACTAAACTTGGCCGATACTGTTGAAATTTATAAAGTTTTGGCTGAAGTGGCTGTATTATATTGAATGATTCTGATGATTTATGAAAAATTATATTTAAAATATTTGTTAGGTCAAATGCATAAATGGTGCCTTAACTATTGGTAATATTGCATTTTGGTACCTTAACTCTTAAATGAATCAAAATGGTACCTTAACTATAAGTAAATGTTTCGAATTGAGATTTTATTCAAATTTTCGATCCAAAAAATCTTCATGATGATCAAAATTTCATGTGTAGAGTCATCCTATAGTGATCATATGGACAAAAATAATGTGAAGTAGACTTTATGCATAGAATTTTGACCGCCATGTTTGATTTTTTGGTTAGAAATTTAAATAAAAACTCAATTTGAAACATTTATGTATAGTTAAGGTACTGTTTTGATTCATTTAGGAGTTAGGGTACCAAATTGCAACATTACCAATTGTTAGGGTACCATTTATGCATTTGATAAATAAAATAAATCATTAAATGAAAAAATAGCTAAAATGATCATCTATAGTAACTTCAACCTTACCTTTTCTTACTATACACAATTCAGCGCGCGAAATAAAAAATTACGTGTTTGGTGAAAAAACTGGTTGATAAGCTTGATAAGCCGGAAAAAAGGTTACCAAACGGGCCCTTATTAAAGCATTTAAGTCCGTTTTGAACTATATGGCACTCTAAAAATTAGAAATTCAATGGAGTTCAATTCTTCAATCTTTATATCTAAATTTTACATTTAGATTCTCTTAATAAGTAATTAATTAAATTGATAGTTTAGAAGTAGTAGTGAAGTATGGAGTAATTTTTTGTTTAAAATAGTAAATAAATTGCACACCAGGCAAATTAACTTTTTTAAATCCGTATTCACGTTTTCAATGGAAGGTGTAATTGTGTATCCTTCAGATTGTTTTGAGGTCAAGACAGAGTTAGATGATGTTTCTCTCCATTGAATAATTTCACTTTGATGCATCCATCTTCTAAGGGTGTAGTCCATTTTGATGAAATGGACGCTTTTCCTGTGTTTAATTTGTTCCCTTATTATTACCATTTCGGAAAACGGAAAAATAATAAAAATATCCCAAACTTTGAAGGGGTGTGAGATAAACACCTCAAACTTGCACATGTAATTTAAATACTCCAAACTTTATATAAAAAATTATTTTCGCACTATGTCATGTATTTTTTCTTTCAAAAATGTAAATTTATGGGGTTAATTGCATAATTTAAAATAGCAAATTAAAAGTGTTGCAATTATATAGACTGTGAGTAATATTACTTATGTCGCAATGGAAGGTTAGAATGCTAAGTGTGTCTACATGAATTTTAAAATATTTAAATTATGCAATATACACCATAAATTTACATTTTTGAAAAAAGTAATATTTGACTATGGTGCTAAAATAACTTTTTATATAAAGTTTGGGGTATTTAAATTACATTTGCAAGTTTGGGGTGCTAATCTCACACTCCTATAAAGTTTGGCTTATTTTAATTATTTTTCCCTGATCATTACTCGGCATATTTTTGTTCCCATTGACTGCTTTATGTTGGCCGTTTGCGTTGTGTGTACTGAGTAGGCTTTGGGATGAAACGGTGAAATCGATTGCTTTTTATTTGCAGTTGGGAAAGATAGAATTTACTATTTGTTGAGAGTACAACAGGTTGGTTGAAAGAGAATTAGAGCCGTTTGATAATACTGTTCTTCGACTTATCAAGCTTATCAACCAATTTTTTCACGAAACATGTAACTTTTGTTTTCGCGGGCTGAATTGTATTGTACTACAATACAATATTAAGAAAAAGCAAGGTTGGAGTTACTTTTCTGGCTGTATTGGTTGAAGTTACTGTAAATGACCATTTTAACTATTTTAATATATAGTTTTTTCTTTATTTTATAAATAAAATATATTTTAAAAATGATTTTTTCTTAAATCAGCAGAATCAGCCGATGCAGCCACCCCAGCCAGAACTTCATAAATTTCATCAGAATCAACCGAATCAGCCGATTTTCATGTTACCAAACGGACTCTTAGTCTTTTCACGGCTAGGATGTATCACCTTCAGAAATCATGCATAACCTACATATGCTTTAAAAGTTTAGCCTTTCTGAGGCTTTGTGGCTATGCATTTATATCGTGCTTTATCTTCAGAAAAAATTATGGAGTAATTAATTAGGGTTTGCATTTTGTAAAGTGATGGTAGAATGACCTAGCAAGGGGACGGGTATATTGTGTAAAATTTGGGGAAGCGTCTTTGATTTAGAGGAAGAGGGTAAGACCACCTTGCTACTACGCATTAACCCTTGAAGGAATCTCTAGGATGCCCTTTTGGGAGGTGCCCTTTTGAGAGTTTAATTTTGTCTATTCTAGTTTTCCACATGAAATCACAAAAGGGCGTAGCTAAAGAGATAGGGGTCACTAGTCACCACCCATGCAACCTCCTCTCACTAATAAATCTTTGTGATTTGAGGTCATTCTCCCGAAAAAATAAACTTTCCGGCAAAATTATACTGGTAAAGATGTTGTCGGCATTGGATTTTCTGCCAGAAAGTGTGCTTTTTTGGGGGAAAGTCCTTAAATCGCAAAAGCCGATTAGTTAGAGGACTAAATTTACAAGGGACTAAATTTATGGGACTAATAATTAATGAAAACAACTAAAAGGTACAGAACTAAACAGAACAGAACAGGCCATACAAGACTTAAATAGACTAGATCAAACCAGAGCATACTTCAATAGTTATAAAATACACACAAACAAGACATTTATTTAGCAGACCGGACCAGACTTAAATCTAGGTTACGCACTAGTATCAGACCCATATTTAGTACATTAAAGCAATATTGTGTGAAGGAACTAAAGTTGATAGTAATTGATCATTATGCCTCAAATTAGTTACTATTCCTTTTTGTTCGCCTTAGTGCCCGTTTGATAGTCACGATATTTGGCTTTTCAAGCTTATAAGCCAACTTTTTTACCAAACACGTAACTTTTGGTTTTGCGAACTGAATTGTGTAATAATAAAAAAAAGTAAGGTTGACTTTTCTGACTGTATTGGCTGAAATTACTGTAGAGGGTCATTTCAACTATTTTTTCATATATTTTTTCCTTATTTTATTAAAATATGTATTTTAAATTATTATTTTTTCACAAATTAACAGAATCAACCAATACAGCCACATCAACCAGAACTTCATAAATTTCAGCAGAATCAGCCAATACAGCCGATTTGGCTATTACCAAATGGGGTCTTAATATATATCTTCAATCTGTTGGAAGAAAAAGCTAATTTGGGTAAGTTGCTGGTAAGGTACATTAATTAACACGTTGGAGCCTAAATTGAGCTGTTACACACTAGTTTTAATCTCTCTTTGTTAAATGTAGAACTAGAGACATGTGATAAATAAGCGTCAAGGAAGTTTGTGCATTTGAAGAAAATCATAAAGCTTGGGGAGTTACGACATCAATGCTGGAGCTGGATGGATTAATCTTGAAGACAGTGAAACATTCATGTTTACATTTCACATCTATTTAATCCGTTTCACATATTGTGTTTACCATTTATATTTCCCTTCTCTTCCTTTTTATTATTGTTTTAAGTTTTAAGTGATTATAATAGCTTTAATTTGTATTTGAAGTATGTGCTTTTACAGAATGTTTTTAATTAGACTGAAGTTTCTAATTTGGTTTCGTCTATTTAATTCTGGTAGATGTTTAGTTTATTTGTGTTCTATAACCATCAAAGTTTGATTTGAACTATTTAAATATGATCTGTTCTGGTATGGGACTCAAACCAATCCAAATAAAAATATCTTAAGATCTTAAAGCAATTTTTCTCTTAATTTTTTTGGGGGAAGAAATAGGCTAAAATTGATAACACGTCATTCAGATAGTAGGTAAACCGACAAAAAGACTCCTGAAAACCGCCGACCCTCGAACCAGACTCAGAGTTTAACACCTCGACAGAAGCAATATAACTCGTTGATCCATAAATGAGCACAAATGAGTCAAAGAGGGTTAACGCGGCCCTTCCATCACCCACATCCAAATCCATAATCTTACAACAGAAAACAAAAAAAACAACAAAAGTAACAAGTTAAGTATAATCCAGACAATCAAAATAAATAACAGCAAAAATATAAGTCATGTCATAGCTTTCTGATCACCACCACCTTCCACTGTCCACGCATTGCCTCCTAAGTGCACAGCTTTGGCGGGCTTACTCCTCGAAGCCCGCCTCCTCCCCGTTTTTTGTTCCGTCGAGAGCCATGTTATCTCCCATATGCTTTTCTATTTCCTGGGCCTCCGAGATGCGCCTCCACTTCTTCTCTCCAGACACCTCTTCATTATTACCCACTTCCACATCTATTGTTGAGCTAATGGTTGTTCGTGATGTAGACTCTGGTCCGTCCCACCCCTTCCTGTTCTGCCATCCGACCCATTGTCCTCCTTATACTAATTCTCCCGACTCGAGCTTGAAGATCCGACCATCAGCCATTTGTTTCCTCCTGTTGAGCTACTCTTCACCCCGCTCCCTGCTCGAAGGTGTACCCCAAAAGTTTTTTCCAAAACCAAATTTTCTTCATACGCCAAGGGGCAAAAATTTTCAGAGTGACCTATAATACCATAATCGAAACAGAAATTGGGCAGTTTCTCATATTTGAAATTCACTCAGTGCCCAATTCCTTCTTTCTTGAGGGTTGTACCCTTTTCAGAGGTTTTTCCACATTCATGCAAACTATAACCCACAAGTATGACACCCATTTTCCCCCAAACTGATTATCATCATAGCTGATCAATTTCCCTATAAAATTACCCACACGCCTAGTTGTCCCTAAATTCATCAACCTGTAATAAACATTATGCATCTCTACCCAAAAATCTGCCTCATTCAAATGCATCTTATGAGGGATATCATCAGATTTAACCTCTTTTAAGATCAATAGATTCCTCTCAAACTACTGCCACGGCCCTCCATCAAGAACACGTTTCATATCAATTGAATGGTTAAAAGTAAAAAGGTGCCTCTTGACCCCGATTTCTTTGATCGAAACACCTTTCCCTCGCCTCTAGAGAGAAGCCATAAGCTCTTTGAACACCGGAAACTTGATTTCCTATCTGTTAGTAGCACTCCCACCACCGGATAACCCGGAGGAGACTCCTTGACGGGAACCTCGTCGATTTCAATCTCATCCTGGTCCAGTTTCTCCACTTCCTCATTCATATTCATCTTCATGTACTGGTCAATGATCTGTTCCATACAATCCGTATTTCTTCTGAAACGAAAAAGCCAAACGCTCCTCTATCGTGTAGACCGACTATGCATTCGATTACGGAGATGGGATGGACAGAGGAAAAAAGAAGTTTGTGATGAAGATGATTACCATTGAGCCGATTAACCAGTCCTTAAGCACGAACAACTTGTTTGACCTGTTCAACCAGGTTCAACCAGATTTGCTAAGTCCAACCAGATTTGATCAATGCTAACATCTTGATTTCACCAATGGTATCATGTCTTCAAAGAGGTGAGTCGCTAGCATATAAGGAATGAAATACATTCACTAGTAGCAAAACATCAATTTGCGGGATCACATAAGCGACAGTTTTAAAAGAACCGACACAATTTTATTTATAAATACGATGAAGATGAACTCGGAGGAATCAGGTTCCAAGTCTACAAGATCAAATGAATAGAAGAGACATAATTTACCTGTCAGGAATCTGATTTCATGCTGCTCAAAATGGATGATGTCTATCACATGTCCATGATATACAGGAAATTCCCTATGAGAAAGAACAAGATCCTCAAGAAGGGATATGGAGCAATCAACCAAGGAAAGTGAGAGTCCGTGTTGTCTGTGGTCTTCAAATGGCCCTAGAAAACAATCTTCCCAAAGAAAACCTTACAAAGCCAAAGTTGTCTGGACCAGGACTCAACGAGTGGCTTCCTCTTCACATTTTTGATGAGCCTAAGAACAGAATAGTCTATATGAACCACAAAGAAAAGAAGCGACTGATGTTGCTGAGTGTGGTTGCAAAAATATGTAATGTGATGGGACATTGAAGATCATTTGAGATCACCTGCAATGAAGTCCTTGCCTTGTAATCTGTGATGGGAGGCTGCAATTTGTTCTTTGATGTCGGGGGTTGAGGAATTTTCAAACTCTTGCTTGTAATCCTTGCCTTTCAGAAATTGCTCCTGATCAGCTTGAAAGGAGTCTGATGGCGCCTCTGTATTGAGTGTTTTGAAGAGTTTTAGGCGCACACGAGATTCATCTTCTGAATTTGATTATCTGATCTATGTCTCCTTGAGAATGTAGTCTTTAAATTTTGACTATTTGATGTGAATGCTTTTGTGGAGAACTTATTGGTGACACACCGACAAATAACGGTTGAGTCATGAGTATATGCTAGCCATTTGATTTGAATCTGGGTGGGAAGATGTTTGTGTTGGAGGAGAGAAGTGTGCGAGAATGATCTTTTAAATTTTATAAACATTTGGACCGCTTCCCCCCCCCCCCCTCATGAGTCATGACGATCCGATGAATCGGGACGTCATGTCTTTGTTCAACCTTTTATTCTTCAAAATAAAATTAAAATCTGGATACATTGTGGTGTTTCGTTGACACATCATTAATGAAAAGACACCGATGTGTGGTCTGTATAAAATGATAGATAAGAAGTGTTAAAGCTTTGACAGAACTTTCGACCGATCATCATGAATTATCAATAGTAGATGTCACTTTGGTCGTTATGACATGATCACAAGTATCTGCAAAAAATATTGTAGCCCCCCACCCCGGGGAGAGCACGGGTCGCGTTCGGGCAAGTCAGGTGTGCGGACACTAAACCTGTTCGGATTTTATAATGTACATCTTGAACCCAACCCACTAAGTTTGTATGTCGGGTTTTTCAGATATTAGAATATCGGTTATTTTCGGATATCATATCAAATATCGGTTACTTCGGTTATACTTAAAACACATTGAAAAAAATCGGATCTGATATAAAAAAAATCAGATATTAAAATATGTGTTTTAAGTATAACTGGAGTAATCCATATCCGATCAGATATCCGAAAATAACCGATATTCTAATATCTGAAAAAACCCGACATCCAAACTCAGTGGGTTGGGTTCAAGATGTACATTATAAAATCCGAACGGGTTTGGTGTCCGCACAAAAGACCCGCCCGAACCCGACCCGTGCTCTCCCCTAGAGTCGAAGACATATCGAAGAGGCGGATAGGGTTAGGCTGGTTAGAAAAGGTATAAGTATGTATATACGAAGTTTGCCAACTGATAACCTGAACACACAACTAAAACTTTACAGAAAAAATAAGAAAAACAAAAGGCGGCACAACATGACCACAACATCTCAATCCAGAGACTTCCCATGGGACTAGCTCTATATTTCGTTTCCTCATTTTTTTCCTTTGCTTTTGTACCGTTCTTCCTTCTTCGATCTTTTTTGCATTGTACTATTTTCAGTTTTTCAATAAAATTCCTTTTGTTTGGAAAAACGAAGTATATAAAACGCTAAACGACATCGTTTTGGTATTTCGGATATTCGGACAGATCGGGTTTGGGATTTATAAATCCTACCCGCAACCCGGGTACCGCCCAATGGTGTTCAAATTTTCGGATATGGGTTGTCAGTTTGGATACCCATATCAAAACAGATATCATCCGGGAAAAAAATTAGGTTTATCGGGTCGGATCGGGTTTTGCTCAGCCCTACCCCCTTGGGTCGCGTAGATGCCCATTATCATAACTATAGACAGGGCCGGCCCAAAGCATGGGTAGGCAGCCCAACCGCACAGGACCCAAAAGATCCTAAGGCTCAAAAAATGGTATTCTTCATAGGGAAAATATCACAAATAGACATGCATAAAGTGAATATAATATCACTTTTATCAATGCTTAAAACTTTTTCCAAATAGAGACTTGCTTAACTTTTCTTTTCAAAAATAGCAAATCTATTGACATGGGCCTCCTGTAGAAGCTACTCAAAAGCGTAAGTTGGTTTTACGGAGTAATAAAGAGTGTGATTTGTTTAGCTACTCTCATCATTGCTACGTGTAAAATGAAAACAAGTTTTCCTCATCAATAATTAATAGAAATTGTTGGAAGTGCTCAATTTTGAACAGAAATATATATATATGTAAAAATCTAATAATAGGTAAAAACGATGAAAGCAATTAGAGAAATAATAAAATTCTAAAAATAAAAAATTATAAACCAAAATAAAAATTCAAAAAATGTTTAAAATATCAAAATTGAAAACTTGTGACTTATATTTTAAAAAATATAAAGAGAAATTTAAATTTGAAAAAAATATGAAAATATAAAAAATGTATGGAAAATTAGAAATACAAAACACGAAAATAAAAAATGTAAACATGAAATATTTAGGAATGCAGGAAATTTTATAAAATATATATAATATATGTTTTATTATTCTAACGATTTAAAAAAAAACTTCATATAAAAAATATCAAAACTTTCAAAAATTATATAAAAATCAAAATCTAATAAAAACTTAAAATTGTTCAAAACAATTTCAAACCGAAAAATGTTAACAATATATATATATATATATAAGATAAATTTTTTGAAACTATTGTAACATGCAAAAAGATTATAAAGTTTAATGTACGAGTACATTTTTTAAACCGGAATTTATACAAAGTAATTTTTTATACAAAGTAAATTATTTAAAAAACAAATAAATATATAA